AGCCATCTTGGGGCGAGCTTAAGGGAACCTTCTAAATGGCAAGCTGAAGGGAGTTTTCTATAGGCGATCTGAAGAAAGAAATCTTCTCTAGGCGAGTTGAAGTGAGCCTTCTATAGGGGAACTGGAGTAGAAAGTCTTCTATAGGCGAGCTGAAGGGATTCCTCTATAGTCGAGCTACAGTGAGCCTTCTCTAGGCGAGATGAAGCAGTGACTCTTCTCTAGGCGAACTGAAGAAAGCTTTCTTATAGAGACCTGAATAGAGTCTTCTATAGACGAGTTAAAGCCGAGAAATGGAGCCTTCAATAGACAAGCTAAAGGGAGACTTCCTCAGACGAACTGCAACAGAGTAGTGTCTCTAAGGAAGATCTGAGCTGTAAGGAGTCTGTTAAACACGAACTGAAGGTAGTTTTCTCTACGAGATCAGATAAGAGTCTTTATAGGTTTGCAGGAATGTAGGCCGCCTGCGAATGATATTTGAATGGGAACATAGACGATCTAAAGGAATCATTTTCCAGACGACCTAATGTTAGCCTCTATATACGAACTGAAACTGGGAACGTTTTGAATACGAGCCTCTGTAGCAAAACTTTTTAGAAATCCACGGCTATTATAGGCCTCGAAAAATTTTCTTTTATAAACCAACGCCTATGATAGGCCTCGAAAAATTTTCTTTTATAAACCAACGCCTATGATAGGCCTTGAAAAATCTTCTTTTATAAACCAACGTCTATGATAGGCCCTGAAAAATCTTCTTTAATAAATCTACGTCTATGATAGACCTTGAAAAATGTTCTTTAATAAATCCACGCCTATGATAGGCCTTGAAAAATATTCTTTCAGAAATCCACGCCTATGATAGGCCTTGAAAAAATATTCTTTAATAAATCCACACCTTTGATAGGCCTTGAAAAAATATTCTTTAATAAATCCACGCCTATGATAGGCCTTGAAAAAATATTCTTTAATAAATCCATGCCTATTGTTGCTCCCTGAAAAAATATTCTTAGCATGGATTCTTGCTAATGAAACAAAATCCTTTAAAAATCCAATATTATTGGCCTTTGAAAAAATTTACTTTGAATTGAATTTGTTAACAGTTTATTAAACCCCTAATTCGGCAAATAATTTGATTACATAAAATTATTGACTAAATCATTTTTCGACACAATATATAGAGGATACCATTGTTTAGGAATGCAAATTAAGCCGTCTGTGGATTAGTTAATAAAGCCTAAAATGCATTTAGTTGGAAATGGACACACATACAGACACACATTTATACTCGTAAATAGAATTTAGGATATGTGTGGAATATAATGGCAAATGATGATGATGATGCTGTCGATAATGCTCTTGCTCTTCTTCTGCAGCTGATAATGGCGATGATATTTAATCAATCAGCGAATACCAACAGCAACAAAGCCACCATACAAAACCGCCAGCGATTTATTATCGTCGTTGTGGAAAAATGAGATTTAATTGGAAACTAATAAAAATCAATTGCGATTTATTTCAAACTAAACCCCAAATGGAAATTAAAAATAAAACACAGACACACGCATGCATAAATATATAAGTAAATTTAGGTTAAATGGAAAATGGGATAAATCACAAAAGTTGAGGGTATTGGTCCTTGAAAAAAATCCAAGCCTTGTATTGGTCCTTGGGAAAATATCTTTGAAAAATTTGTGAGTTAAGTCTCTTTGCATTTCACAGACTTTAAAATTCTATTGAAAGTATGTACATATATACGTCTATGCAAATTCACGCAAATCAATTATTTACTCTGTGAAATATTAGAGGAAAAGGGAAAAAACAAAACCCTCCCTCACCTACACACACACTCCCGCTAAAATCAATGCAAATTCACACACACACAAATAAACTTTCAATAGAAAAATAACATTTTTTTTGCAATTGTATTTGTGTGCATCTTTATGATTATGGAAATTTTCAATTAATTAAAAGCGATTAGTGAGTGGATTGAAGTACTCAGTGTCACGGACACACAGACAGACATCGGCAAATCTGGTCTGGTGGATAAAGAGATCAGTAAACCAAGTGGACTGAACTAAACTCAAATGAACTGAAGCGTACATAGTTACTCAATGGCATAGACAATGGTTGCAGATCATTGAATTTACCGGTAGAGAGGTTGGGAGGAGGAGGCAAAAAGGAAACCTTACAACTGCAACAAGTGATACGTGAGAAATAAATTGTGTGTGACAGTGCAGAGAATTCTTATGGCAATCAGAACAAGAACAGTGGGCAAACCCAAGGCATCTATGTCTTTAAAATATATTGTCTAAAAATATATGGCAGGTTACGTAGGGGATGGTAGATACCAAGCAACGGCTCTGATTGGCTTTAACATGGCGAGGTCCAGGCTTATCTTGGTCTCTCTTTCATCTCAAATGTGGACACTGACCTCCCCAGGGTGTCACCTGGGGTAGCTATTTTCATCAGCCGATGAAATAGTGAGCTAATATGTGCCGCGAGTTCGCCCATAAGAACTATAAAAAAATGGGCTCAGGCGTCGGGTTAGTTGACCACACACGAAAGCCCCTCCTACTATGAAAAAGCAACGAAAAAGAAACCAAAATCCCGCCTTGGCGGATGTACTCAAGCAGTACAAAGCCGATATTATTGGCTTACAGGAAATGCGATGGAAAGGGACTGGCGTAAGTAAATCAGATGATTACGCCCTGTATTATAGCTGCCATGAAACGAGACATGAATTTGGATTTAAGGATTTAAGGTTAATAGGATAATAAAAGACCACGTCTCCAGATTCACTCCCGTAGATGAGCGAATTGCTATAATCCGTATAAAACGATGTTCTTCTACATCAATCTCATTTGCGCCCATGCTCCGACCGAAGAACAGATTCACTCCAGTAGATGAGCGATGAGCCCATGCTCCGACGGAAGACAAAGATGAACAGACCAAAGACATTTTTACGAGCGCCTAGAGCTGCATATGACCGCTGCCCTGGCCATGACATTAAAATTCTTCTAGGAGATTTTAATGCAAAAATCGGAAGGGAAAATATCTTTAGCCCCACCGTCGGAAAATTCAGCCTCCATGAAGAGACATCCGTCAACGGCATGACATTGATTCACTTCGCGGTAGCAAACAACATGATAGTTAGCAGCACCAGATCCAAGCATCTCGATATACACAAGGCCACCTGGATTTCTCCTGATCAAGCAACGAAAAATCAAATCGATCATGTTGTGATAGACGGAAGACATTCGTCCAGTGTTTCAGACGTTCGATCGATACGAGGAGCGAATATGGATTCGGACCATTACGTTGTGGCAGCCAAGGTACGCAGCCGTCTTAATGTAGAAGCAAAGGTGCGATCTAATGTAACACGGAAATTTGACGTTCGAAAGCTGCCAACACAACGGGTAGCAGACGACAACACCGCTCAACATACCCACCTACTTGACGAAAGCACTTCTTGTCCCGACAATAGTATAGAAGAACAATGGCAATTGGAATTGCCCACTCCCTACAAACTGCAGTAAAAGCAACACTTGGGCAACAAAAACCACCAGACCATGAAACCTTTGGTACGATCAGGAGTGTTGTAATGCTACTGATGTGAAAAACGCAGCGTATAGGGCAACCCTGCAGATAGTAGCAACACGTAATGCGATGGAAAATTATCGGGAGAAAAGGAGAGAGGAGAAACGTATTTTTCAGAAAAAAAGAACAAGAAAAACGTGAGCGTGAGCAAATCGAGATGTACAGGAGTCAGAATGACGTCCGGAAATTTGACCAACGAGTAAAACACCAAACCGAAGGCTTTGGTGCAGGCACATCCTCCTGTAGAGGTGAAGAAGGAAACCTTGTGACAGATGCAGACAGCGTGTTGAGGATCTGGAAAGAGCATTTTGAAAAGCTTCTGGCATCAAGTAGTGGCGATGAAGAAGATACCCCAGAACCCATAAGAGATGACCGCATGGAATATATACCACCAGCCAAGATGAGGCCAGAATAGCAATTAATTGACTGAAGAACAATAAAGCAGCAGGAACCGATGAGCTACCAGCCGAACTATTCAAGACTGGTGGTCAGGTGCTGGTCAGGAGCATGCCCAATGATTGAATGCATGCCCAATGATTGGAACCTCAGCATCCTGTGTCCCGTGCACAAAATAGGAGACAAGACGATATGTGCCAATTATAGAGGAATAAGTCTCCTTACCATCGCATATAAAGTGCTATCTAGCGTGCTGTGTGAACGACTAAAGCCAATAGTCAATGACATTATTGGGCCATACCAATGTGGTTTTAGACCTGGTAGGTCCACCATTGACCAGATTTTCACTCTGCGCAAAATCCTAGAAAAACCCCACAAAAAACACATCGACACATTCCACCTATTCGTCGACTATAAAGCCGCATTCGACAGCCCTATCCGTTCAGATGTGTTTAAAGCCATGTCTGCTTTTGGCATTCCTGCAAAATTAATTCGGCTATTTAAAAAAACCACGCCTTTAAAGGAGCTTCAAAAAATATTTAAAAAAGCCACGCCTTTAAAGGAGCTTCAAAAAATATTTAAAAAATCGACGTCTTTTATAGGTCGTTTAAAAAAAGACGAATTTTATAGATCCTGGAAAAACATATTTTAGAAATCCACGACTTTTTTAGGTCCTTGAGAAAAAAAATATTTAAAAAATCCATTCCTTTTAGAGGTCCTTGAAAAAAAATCTTTAAAAAATCCATTCCTTTTAGAGGTCCTTGAAAAAATCAAAGACTATTGACCTGAAAGCAATAGTCATAAATTTAAATTTATTTTTGTCCCACTGTATCTGAGTTATTACAAAATAGCTTTTTTATTCCTAGACAGCAGCACACACACAAAACGATCAGACTTCATCCAACCGATTCAAATGCAGCAACTCAAACATTAATTATTTAGTTCATTCAGTCATTAAACAGAGTTCATCCCAAATAGTACAAGCGGTGAAAAATCGCTATCGGAAAATAATGTCTTCAAAATTATGGAAATCCAAGTTGGCCGTTGTAACGGGAGCCTCTGTGGGTATTGGAGCAGAAATTGCCCTCAGATTGGCAAATGCAGGAATTACGGTCATTGGCTTGGCTAGACGTTCCGAGCTAATCGATGTAAGAAAATCCGGTAATGTCTTAAAAACTTATTAAATACCCGAATATCTCCCAGGATCTTAATAAACAAGTCCATAGTGATGGCGCTCAAATCCACTCCTATCGTTGCGATATGGCTAAGGAGGAGAATATTGCCGAAGCCTTCAAATGGATTGGTGAACATTTTGGTGGCATCAGCATTTTGATATGCAATGCTGGAATATTGAAAGCGAATTTTATTGTTGGTAAGGACGAGAGGATATTCGAAAATCAATATTTATTTTAAAAAGGTTCGTTGCTTAGAATCATCAAATGCGGATTTAAAGGAGCTGTATGATATTAATGCTTATGCGACCACACTTTGCTTAAGAGAGGGTATAAAGCTAATGCGCAACGGAAAGGTGGATAAGGGTCACATTATCGTTTTGAATAGGTAAGTGCAATGCGAAGATATTTTAAATGAAGGAAGGCAATCGAATGCGTAAAAAAATCCACGCCTTGCTGGATGGTCCTTGAAAAAATATTCTTTATAAAATCCACGCCTTGCTGGATGGTCCTTGAAAAAATATTCTTTATAAAATCCACGCCTTGCTGGATGGTCCTTGAAAAAATATTCTTTATAAAATCCACGCCTTGCTGGATGGTCCTTGAAAAAATATTCTTTATAAAATCCACGCCTTGCTGGATGGTCCTTGAAAAAATATTCTTTATAAAATCCACGCCTTGCTGGATGGTCCTTGAAAAAATATTCTTTATAAAATCCACGCCTTGCTGGATGGTCCTTGAAAAAATATTCTTTATAAAATCCACGCCTTGCTGGATGGTCCTTGAAAAAATATTCTTTATAAAATCCACGCCTTGCTGGATGGTCCTTGAAAAAATATTCTTTATAAAATCCACGCCTTGCTGGATGGTCCTTGAAAAAATATTCTTTATAAAATCCACGCCTTGCTGGATGGTCCTTGAAAAAATATTCTTTATAAAATCCACGCCTTCCTTGAAAAAATATTCTTTATAAAATCCACGCCTTCCTTGAAAAAATATTCTTTATAAAATCCACGCCTTCCTTGAAAAAATATTCTTTATAAAATCCACGCCTTCCTTGAAAAAATATTCTTTATAAAATCCACGCCTTGTCCTTGAAAAAATATTCTTTATAAAATCCACGCCTTGTCCTTGAAAAAATATTCTTTATAAAATCCACGCCTTGTCCTTGAAAAATATTCTTTATAAAATCCACGCCTTGTTGGATGGTCCTTGAAAAATATTCTTTATAAAATCCACGCCTTGTCCTTGAAAAATATTCTTTATAAAATCCACGCCTTGTTGGATGGTCCTTGAAAAATATTCTTTATAAAATCCACGCCTTGTCCTTGAAAAATATTCTTTATAAAATCCACGCCTTGCTGGATGGTCCTTGAAAAAATATTCTTTATAAAATCCACGCCTTGCTGGATGGTCCTTGAAAAAATATTCTTTATAAAATCCACGCCTTGCTGGATGGTCCTTGAAAAAATATTCTTTATAAAATCCACGCCTTGCTGGATGGTCCTTGAAAAAATATTCTTTATAAAATCCACGCCTTGCTGGATGGTCCTTGAAAAAATATTCTTTATAAAATCCACGCCTTGCTGGATGGTCCTTGAAAAAATATTCTTTATAAAATCCACGCCTTGCTGGATGGTCCTTGAAAAAATATTCTTTATAAAATCCACGCCTTGCTGGATGGTCCTTGAAAAAATATTCTTTATAAAATCCACGCCTTGCTGGATGGTCCTTGAAAAAATATTCTTTATAAAATCCACGCCTTGCTGGATGGTCCTTGAAAAAATATTCTTTATAAAATCCACGCCTTGCTGGATGGTCCTTGAAAAAATATTCTTTATAAAATCCACGCCTTGCTGGATGGTCCTTGAAAAAATATTCTTTATAAAATCCACGCCTTGCTGGATGGTCCTTGAAAAAATATTCTTTATAAAATCCACGCCTTGCTGGATGGTCCTTGAAAAAATATTCTTTATAAAATCCACGCCTTGCTGGATGGTCCTTGAAAAAATATTCTTTATAAAATCCACGCCTTGCTGGATGGTCCTTGAAAAAATATTCTTTATAAAATCCACGCCTTGCTGGATGGTCCTTGAAAAAATATTCTTTATAAAATCCACGCCTTGCTGGATGGTCCTTGAAAAAATATTCTTTATAAAATCCACGCCTTGCTGGATGGTCCTTGAAAAAATATTCTTTATAAAATCCACGCCTTGCTGGATGGTCCTTGAAAAAATATTCTTTATAAAATCCACGCCTTGCTGGATGGTCCTTGAAAAAATATTCTTTATAAAATCCACGCCTTGCTGGATGGTCCTTGAAAAAATATTCTTTATAAAATCCACGCCTTGCTGGATGGTCCTTGAAAAAATATTCTTTATAAAATCCACGCCTTGCTGGATGGTCCTTGAAAAAATATTCTTTATAAAATCCACGCCTTGCTGGATGGTCCTAGAAAACTATTCTTTATGAAATCCACGCCTTGTAAGGGTCCTATTCTTTAAAAAATCCACGCCTTGTTGAATGGCCCTTGAAAAATATTCTTTAAAAAATCCATGCCTTGTTAGATGGTCCTTGAAAAGATATTCTTTATAAAATCCACGCCTTGTGCTGGTCCTTGAAAAATATGTTTCATAAAATCCACGCAATTCTAGGTCCTTGTTATGCTCTTATTACCGCATTTCCTAGCCTCCTTTATTATTGATTGAAAAAATATTTAATTTTTTTTCTCAGTCATTTAAAAATTTAGTATGTCACCAGTTTTTTTTTTCCCTCCAACCAACTATTTATTAACTTACCTTGGCAGATTACTGCAGTAAGTGCTCTACTTACATATGTACGTATTTACACACGTACATACATATTTACTCGCCAAGTAATACCTAGTCTGTGCGTCGTCAGTATTTACTCATTTTCCAATTCATCCGGTCGGGTACGCATTAAAAACAACGAACTGTTGCACTTTGAGTGCTGAATAAGCTTTTATTTCCGCCAAACCCCCGTTCTCCGCCCTCTCCGATGCTGCACTCCGGATGCTGACGATGACGTTGATGACATGTGAATAGGTGGTATTTTACCACTAAAATGTTAAAATACTCGACTGGAGTAGTGGCATGCCACCCAATCGCTTAATGTTGTAACTTCTGCTGCTGCTGTTGGATGCTATTCCAAACAGTCAATGATGTCATTTTTATTGTAGTTGTTGTTTTTGATTTGGTGTGTATGCATAGGGGGTGGGTGTATGTTGGGGCGTTCTGTATATGTATGTACGGTGTGTGTGTGTGCGTACACATGGCATTAATGGTGTCTGTTTTTGTTACGCTTTGTTTGTCTGTCTTGATTACTGCAATTTGCATACGCCCAGACGTTGTCCTTGTTCTGGAGGGAATTGCAAACACACAGACGCACACACACCAGTCGATACACACGCATAATCAAACACTCATGCATATATACATACTTGCATCCATCTGTAGCTGAAGTTACTATCAGGAAAAAAATGCATTTAAGCCGCCCATGTTTTCACAAAATTGTATGCGCCCAAAATTGTATTTACATGCATATTTTGTTGTCGTTATCTATACTGTAATTAAATCGAGTAAGGAAGACGAGAGTTTCTCATAGTCCTTAAAAAAATATTCA